AAGTTTTTATTAATAAAATTCTTTTTTTTTTTTATAGATTTTAAATTTTAAATCATAAAACTTTTGTGAAATTATAAATGTTGTAACTAAATAATTCTATTGTGACAAGATTTTTGTTATAGATGTGTGTTGTAATTACAAAAATACTTTTTACTTTAATATAAATTTAAATAATTAATGACTAAATATTTCGTCACAAATACTCTTGAGTATTTATACGTTTATTTTTGTCACTTAATTGTAATCTTTGTGATGAAAATTGTTGTGACAAAAAGTGGTTTTTGTGACAAAAAGTGGTTTTTGTGACAAATAAAATTATTATAAATAACTTATTAGCAATATCAATTTTTTTTATCACTATAAAATTTTTTTTGACGTGTGTTAAATTCGCCATCATTAAAAGCAATAGTGATAAAGATTTTACTAATGATATAAATTTCATCATGAATTATAATTTGTGACGAGAACTAAGTGTTTAATGACCAATAATTTAGTTGTTAAATGTAGATTTTTTTGTAGTGTTTTTTTAAATAATTTTGAAGACATATATTGATATTAATTTAATATATTTAAAAAAATTAATTTTTTAAATACTAATATTAAAATTTAAAATTTAAATTTAACTTATAAAATAACAATTTTTTCTTAATAAATTTAATCTTAGAAGTTGATTATTTTCCATTTATAACCCACTATCGAACATGAAAAAACACATCAGTCATATTGCAAACAGAAGTGACTGTTTGCAATACAGTTTCATCCCTTTAGATTTTTGTTTCCACACAATCAGATTAATTCTTCGACTTCTTGACTTGATCCAAGTTGTAACATCCAAGGGTGACGAACACCATACCTCAAGAGATATGGTACACCCTCCTTTCTCCCCTCTCCTTCTCCCGCTGTGTTTTTCTAAATACTATAAAAGTATAAATAAATAAATTAAATTAAATAATAAATTGCAAAACCAAAAGATGGGCCGTCCATCCAGAAATTGGGCTGTCCAATGGGCAAGATGACTCTATAATTTTGTTTAAAGAATGATTTAAATGAGTAATTAAGTTTAAAGGTTCATTTACTATACTTTTATTTTATTAATTTATACAAAAAAATATAACTATTAATCTTAATACAAGATAGTATTAGGTGGGCAGTTAT